CAAACTTCAAGTAATTCAAGGAACAGTTATTATATTGGCGCGATTTCAAATTCTAGTAAACCAATCCATATAAGGAGAAGGCGAAACCAATCAAACAACAACGCATATAGCTTTGATGATCCTCCTCAGTCCATATAAGAGGGAAATCATCCTCGGTTCTACTAGCCTTGATGATCCTCCTCAATTCATTACGGTGAGACTAGGAGACCTATGCATTACCAGTAACATCAGAATATTTATCCCTTATAAAATGTCTTGTCCACCAATATGCTGCACTCTCTAGCACAATTATCAACTTGCCCAGTTTAATTTCCAAAAATATCGACAAAGTGAGATAAATATGATTATTGCATTAAAATTTTGTAGCAAATTAACAACAATGTCACTATCTATTTTGTAGCAAATCCATATTAAAAAATAAATTACGAGCTCGAATCGAAGCTCACCTTCGAATCTTACCCCGAAAAAAGGTGACAGAAACTCAGTTAGTCCAAAGCAAAACAAAGATAGCCCCAGCTATCAATAAAGATCATAGATTAAAGTTGTTAATAACTCCAAAAGATATATACTCCCAACGTAAAATTACTGAAAGACATGTGGGAAACAATTGACTGTAATAGCTAGAATTTAGAAGCAGTTTGATTGAAACTGAGTGGATGCTCTCGACACTCATTTTAAATTGACTCAAATAAAGTGTGCTAGATGAGTGACAGGATTCTGAAATTCACTAATTGTGATAATAATGCAGTTTGACCACTTAATCGCTGTTTTAGAGTGTTAATTTTCCAAGCTAGTATCAATTAGAAACTAACTTGATTCATTAAGTCTTGATTCAAATCTGATATAAACGTTATCGGTAACCATCTTATTCAATATTTCAATGTTTAGGTAACCATCTTATTTAATGTTTAGGATAGGAAAGGCTAAGGTTGCGGTCCTAAATACAGAGGCCTTTGGGAAAAAGGAATAAAGTGAGTAAAAGTATAATCTAAAAATTGTGGCAGAATTGGCTTGTGGCCTAATTTAAGAAACTATTTCAATATGGGCAGCTAAACAAAAAACTTCTAGTTTAACTGTGAATAAGCATAGGGGAACGGAGAGAGAATATTATCAATGTTACTTTTTCAAGTGTTCATCCAGAGATACTACACTAAAGTATCAGATGTTAATAGTATAGTGTAAAATGTTATACCATCAAAGGCCAATACATTTACCCTCCCTTCCAAAGTTGAAACTGCTAATTATTTACTACATCCTAGTGTTGCAAAGGCCAATACATTTACCCTCCCTTCCAAAGTTGAAACTGCTAATTATTTACTACATCCTAGTGTTGCTGGTAAGAACAAAAAAGCAAAAACTTTTCTTCACCCTTCTTCTCTTCCCATATCGATCATTCAACACGTTTGTTTATGTTTTACAAAATCTGACCTTTGTCTACATTTCCAATAACTTGATCAAGTATATTCTACAAACAAACATAAATTCAATAAATTCACGAAACTTCAAGATCAAATGTACCTGAAGAAGAGACCTAGCTCCAGAATCCAATTGAGTCAAATTGACCAACAACATCACCATCAACCTCACAACTTTACGATCCCCAACCTTATACATCACATCCATAGCAGTACTCATGGTTCCAATAGACACAAGCTCCTCTGCAATCCCATGATCCTGGGAGAGATTGATCAGAGCTTCGGCCGCGGGAGTGGAGAGCTCCGCTGGATTCGGAGGAGGCGGGAGAGAGGGGGCAGGAGGCGGTCGGAGCGGGAGGAGAGAGGGCGGAGGCCTTCATCGGAGCCGGTGAGATCGCGGACGATGTCGACGGCGGCAGGGATGAAGGAGATCCGAGAGAGGTCGAGGGAGAGAGATCCGCGAGAACGACGAGAGAGAGCTCAAGGAGATTTGAGATCGAGAGATCGAGAGAGGATGGAGTCGCGATGGAGTCGGGAATTTTGAAGGAAGCATCGAACGGGATTTTCTCTCCCTCTCTCTCATTTTCACTCCGATCAAGTGAGGAAAGGGTAGAAGAATCGGGTATATGGGTATTTTTCTACAGTGATTTTAAGATTCATTTTCCTTCTGGTTTTCTTCCAAACCAAACAAAGAAAAATTACTTTCTTTTGCACTTTCTTTTCCTTTCTTCTATTTCCCTTCAAACCAAACAGAGCCTAAAAGTTATCTCCTTGGTGGATTCTCCTTCTCCTTTTGCTTCCTTGGCTCCTATTGCAGATGAAGTTTACGCTGGTCTGACTATTACTGGCTGCTCTAAAGTTTCTTATGTAACACGCACTGGTAATGGTGTTGCTCACTCCCCTAGCTAAGTCGGTTGAATGTTTGTCATCTTATTTTTGGTCTGTTTATGTCTCTTTGTTTTTGAGACAGAGTGTTGTTGAGGACTTGGCTGGTTAGGTTACCCTACCTGTCTTTTCAAAAAAAAAATTGGTACATTCGCTCGAAAGATGAGACTTGTCATGGACGGAGCTCACAAGGATTGAGATCCTCGCTTCTTAGGTGCTAATCTGAGAGTGTCTAATTATCATAATTTTTAACTGTATGTTTCAAATTTAAGGGCTGGAATATTACCATCTAAAATTCCAATGTTAACTACCATATCACGACTATAAAAACTACTTTTAGGATAGTGAAAATCTTATGCAGCTCATCTTATCCAAATCCAGTTCATGAATATAGCAAGTCTGATATAAATTTGGGAAAATATTTGTAAGGTTGTCTAAATAAATAAGGAAAACAAATATAGACTTTTAAGGCAAACATATAACTCTATTTCGCCCCTAATTAAATTTGAGATATAGATTTACAGATGCCTCTAAAATTTAGAATCACAATTCGAGGATGAGTTCAATACATCTAAAACCCATAATTTAAGATCTCAAACGAATTTTAAAGGCCAGATAAATTACTTTAGGGTGGCACTAGAGACACACCTTGTGCCACACCTTGGGACACACCCCTCTCTCAACTACAGTGCATGGGGCCCACTTGAGATTTATTTAAAAATCTCAAGTGGGCCCCCTGCACTGTAGCTGAGAGAGGGAGGTGTGGTACAAGGTGTGCCTCTAGTGTTTTCCATTACTTTAAAGATGTGTAAACACCCCGAGTGAAATTTGTTTGACTTTTTTCCCTCTGAATAAAGACAAAATTAATTTTTTTAGAACCCCCCCCCCCAGCTAAAAAAGGAAGTCAAAAAATTTCCTTGGGGGAGGTCTATCTGCAACGATAGAAGAACACGATCTAGGCTGATAGCGCACAGATAGCCTATTTGCACTTAATTATTTGCAATAACATTAGTCACAATGGTTTGAATCTATACTGTGTATAAAAAAATTTCATACTAAATCCAAACAACCTAAAAATAGATGGCATATGAGAAATTCGTCTCCAGATAAATGTAGAACCGATAATTCAGCTTTTTTTTAAAGAAAAACTTCAAACCATAGAAATCTTACCTAAATAAAGTTTGTGAATAAAGAAAAGAGGCTTCTGTTTTAGCAGCTTCACTGATGATTACAGACAGATAAAACTTATCAGATGGAAGAGTATCTCAAAATTTTTTGATGAAGTGGGAGAGTTTATTGTAGCATGGTGACGAGATTAATTCACTCCTGGAAATTTGTAGCATTGTGTTTACATATTGAATGCCCCGGACACTTATAGTTGTTGGTCACCGTATTCAATGTTGCCTTGGGTAAATATTTTTATTGTCAGGGGTATTATTGTTAACTTCGGGCAACCTTTGAGTTTGAGCTCTTGCGCCGTGCTCATCGCTGTTTGTAATGGACGGATGGCCCACTGGCACGAGTAGAGGTGCTCCCTGCAGAGAAAAGATCATAAAGTCTTATGGGGTACGTGGCAGTATTTATTTGGTCGTACCCATTCAAACGAAGGAACCTTGTGGATGCAGGGGAGGTGATGGAGCTGGTTACCGACGCGTGGCAGTTGAAGACCCGAGATATATATTCTTGCCTTGTGATTGCTCCTCCACTACTGCCCTTCTCTGTGGGACCCATGTCGGTGCGTTGTCTAATTTTGCCACGTACTTACTTTTAGAAAATGGAAAAAAAATAATGTGTAGAAAGTTTAGGCTTGGTACGGATACTATAGTGTTTTTCGTGTTGTGTTTTAGGGGCTGTTTGGCTCGTTTCCTTGATATAGAGAAATACAATTCCATGTAAAGAAACACAAGTTTTGAGTTTTTCAAACTTTTCCAAGAAATAGATTGTTTTGCTTTGGTTCGCATATAAAAAATGGTGGAAAACCAATGTATTTACTTTTCTTGTGTTTGGTTCGCATAGAAAAAAAAGTAAAACTTTTGTAAACAAAGCAGAGAAGAAAAAAAATCTGACATGACAGAGTTTTCATCAATTTCACTTAGTTGGGGAAGGAAATCGGAGAGGGAAAAAAATCTTAGTTGGCGGCGATTTCAGCAGAGTTTTCCCTCTTCCATTCGAGCGAACCAAAGCAGCACAAAGAAATGGACGGAAACAAAAAAGCTGACGTGGAGGGCTAAAAATCTGACGTGGAGGGGTTTTTTGAGTTTTCCACCCCTTATAATAGCGAACCAAACAGCCCCTTAAAAAAAAAGGGTTATGGTGTTGTGTTTTACCCTTAGGTGCTGTTTGTTTATCCAAAAAAAGAGGGAAATCAAAGAATAAGAAATCTATTTCTAAGAAAAATTATTTTGAGATTGTTTGGTTGGCAAAAAAAAAGAAGGAAATCAACGAATATGAGATGAGTTGTCACATTATTATTGGATGATGTAGGTGATTTTTTAAGAAAATTTGTTTTGAGGTTGTTTGGTTGGCTAAAAAAAATAAGGAAATAAATTATAAGAAACATATTTCCTGTAATAGTTCTTTTCTTATGTTTGGTTCATTCATAAAAATAAGAAAATAAATGAGATGAGATGAGTTGTCATTATATTATTGGATGATGTGACTCAAATTAAGGAAATCGATTTCCTAGTTTTTTGGAGGAAATGAGTGGAAAAGAAATGTTAATGAGATGAGATGAGTTATCACCATATTATTGGATGATGTGAGTGATTTTTAAAGATGAGTTAATGAGATGAGATGAGTTATCACCATATTATTGGATGATGTGAGTGATTTTTAAAGATGAGATGTGATGGAGATGAGATGATGTGAGTGATTTTTAAAGATGAGATGTGATGGAGATGAGATGAGTTGGATGATGTGACTCATTTCTTGCATGTGTTTGGTTTATTTTTAGGAGATGATATGAGATAATTTGTGGGATGGAAATAATATTTTATTAGAAGTTATGGTAAGTTTTAGGGATAGAAATGGATGAAAATAATATTTTATTGAATTCCATGTACCCTTTTCATTTTCTTGATTTTAAGGAAGCCAACTAAATAGCCCCTTAAAGTGTTTTTAAAACATCATGTTGAGTGTTTTTGGTTAATACTAGTTTGACTGGTTACAATTAGTATTAAACATATTATTAATATATTATATATTAATTATACTAAAATATATTCTAAATAAGATATTTAAAATTAAGTTTACATTATTATTGTATTATAAATATTTAATATAATATAATATAATATTGTATAATATATTACAATATTATATTGTACTTTAATGTGTTATATTATATTATAATTATTACATATTATTTTTAAATAATAATATATTTAACTATTTTAATATATCAAATTGTTATTGTTATTTACATAGTATTGTTTAAAATAGTATATTTATTATTAATAAATATTATATTGTTATTAAATATAATATAATACTATTAAAATGTTAATATTATGTTATTACTAGGTATATTTATAATAAAATTAAATATTTAAATATTTTTGATATAAATATAATATATTATAGTTACTATATGTTATAGTTTATTAATAATACTTTAATAATATATTAATAATTATGATATAAATAAATATTATTATATTATGAATATATTATTGTATATTAACATTTTTAGCAATAAATTATTTGGTATTAAAATTATTTTTACTTTGTAATATATTATATTTCTTTATTATATAATATATAAATATTTTATATATTAATTACTATACAATATATAATATTATTATTATTTATGTTTTATTATTAATATGCTATATTACTATTATAGAATATTTTATAATTATTAAATTGTTAAAGTTTATTTATTAAAAAGTTAATAATACTATAATGATTCTAATATTATATAGCATATTATTATATCATTATTTATTATCAATAACTTTTTATTTTTATTAGTTTATTTATAATTTATTATTATTTATTATTATATAATACATTATCAACATATTAAATACTATTATTTAATATGTTATCAAATTATTATATAAGATATTTTAATTATTATATTTTTATATTATTTAATAAATATTACTAGCATATTAGATTAAATATAATAAAGTATAGTATAATGTAGTATAATATATTAAACATATCTATAATAACTATATATTAGTTACATTTAATATAATATGTTAGATATTATATTAACACATCCTCAAACTCAAAACCAAAACACCAAACTTAAAACACCTAAATAGTATTTTGAAATAAGTGTTGTGTTTTTGGTTTGAGGATGATTTAGCTCAAAAAACATCATGGTTTCCAAACGCATGACGTTTTATTTTTGGTAAAAACACCATAAAATAAATAAAACACCATGATATTCAAATGAAGCCTTAATTACAATTTTTTTTTTGAAATGGACCCATTCTAATATTTATTCATAAAAATATAGAAAACTTGTATCAAGGCCCAAAAAAAAAAGATCTTATGTGGACCAGCCCCCATGGACTTTTCCTCATATTGTTTAGACCCAAAAGACCTTACAAAATATGGCCCAATCCCAAAAGCCCATTGATATACATGTATATATTATATTTGATCTCCTCTTTCGAAAATACCCTTTTCACACGGAAACCCAACTTTAGGGTTTTTTTTGCCGATCGTAATTAATGGTAATCGACGATGA